TCTTGCTGCATCCCTGAGCAGGTCAGGGCTCCACAGCTACAGAAAGACAGCACGGAGGGCACCAGTGAGACTCTTGCAAAGACCAAACTATGCTGCAGGGGACAATGACTGACAGCTGGGAGATACAGGCAGGAGGTCGTCAAATAAAACTGCTAACAAAAAGCCACTTCGAAAGCAATGTGCTTCATTCAAATGTTAACAGAAGAAAAATGGAGGTGATGGGTATGACCCAGGACAAGCCAGCAACAGTATCACAGTGTGGCGTCTTAAACAGATACAAGGCCTGGTGTGGGGGGAAGTTAGGCTTGTACAGAAACATGGGGAATCTCTCTGCAGACAGGCATCAGTAGTCAGCCTATGTGTCAACCACTAAATAAAGCTACAGCCCTTGGAGAATGTAAGAAACGCCTGTGGAGATCCCCAGGTCACATGGGAAGGTGAAAGCAAGTGCCCTGCACAAGATCCCTTGGCTGCAGGTACAGGAGGCTGCATAAGTAGCCTGGTGGTGAGCGAGGGCTGCGCACGGCTGTTATTCCACAGTAAACTCTAAGCACGAAACAGCACACCAGCTGGCATCTAGGGAAGACCCAAAACCATCCCATACCTTGCTTTTTCCCAAAACAGAGGATCACTTCCATGCCTGTGCATGTTGTCAGAAGCACCCCAATTCTAAAACCCCAGAGATATTGGGATACTTCAGTAAATAAATTGATGCAGGCCAGCATTTCAAGATTGGCTTAGCATTCTAAAATCAGCTCACACCCTACCACATGTATAGAACATGAAATAGAAAAATGACATGGCTATGTAAGCACACAGAGAAAAACCATTTGAGGACTCTCACAAGTTGCAGTCTGAGAAACAACGCCAGGATGAAGGCTGACAGAGAGAGAAACACTGAGGTGCCCTGTTACTAGGGACAGGGAATGTCGCCTCCTGGGATGTAAGATATTTAATACATGTCTTACTAGTGGGTAATTGACAGCACAAACACAAGGCATGAACATCACACGGGGAGCAGCACACTGTCTCTATGCAGAGAGTGGATTCACACAGCAATCCTAAAGAACTCCAAATAACACCCAGAGCAAGCATGGTTGTTATCCCCCATTCCCCAGAGGTAGCTGGCTCCAGGGCAGTAGGCACACCAACACCCAGGGATGCTTGAACCTTTCCTTTACAGAAAATGGCAGTACCAGAGCAGAGCCTCCACACATCCACCCAAATGCTGTACATTCAGAGACTACCTATAATACCTAATAAATGCTACATGAGCAGCTGTTTAAATGTTCTGCATAAAGAATAATGACAGGAAAATAGCTCGTACAGGTTCATAACATATGCAGTTTTCCAACAACCCTGATCCACAGTCAACCGAAAGCACAGACAGAGAGGGCTGGCCAATAGGCAGTCCCCCACCCCTTATTCACAAGGATGCATCCGCAAACCCAGGCGACCTGGAATGGGGGGTAGAATCAAACAAAATAAGACTGCTCCTATATGCCTAGACTAACTTATAAACCTGGAGCAGTAAGAGATGGGGGATACAAAATCAGACAAGCACAGCAACCAACTATGCTGTGCGTCACGTCACTGCAGGCTCTTTGCTCTTGTCATGACGAAGGCAGAGAATTCTTAAAGGAAGCACTTCGTAGTTTGTCTTGGACATATCCAGATCTCCAGATTCTTGTGCTTTGCGTCATTATAAAGTAAAAAGGCTGCTTGAGCACAACATGGCAATAATGCCAGGTTAATCTAATAACTGACAGAGTTACTAAGCGACTAGGAGGTGGGCAGCATATAGAGTGGATACACCGGGGGAAGGGGCCACATCCCAAGCTGATGGGCCAAGCAAGACGTCATCGTACTAGACAAAATGGCATGGACTTATACGTCATGATGGTTTCCTTTTGGAACTTTCCAATTAACATTTCTGGACTTGGATTCTAACTGACCATGGGTAACAAACAGGAAAAATAAAACCACAGGGAAGGGTTGGGGAGGGTCCTGTGCATGAATTCACAGAAGTCTGTACGACATAAGATCAACACATAAAAAATCAATGGCTACAACCTGCAGCGGTAATTTAAAAGTTAACAAAAGTTTTAAGCTGATTTAGAATACTATCAAGAACAAAGTACCTAAAAATCAATTCTATCAAAGACATGTGAGGTCTCCATGCTGGAAACTACAAAACCCTGCTGAGAAAAATGAAAGAGAACTCAAATAGATGCAGAGATAAATCACACCACAAATCGACAGAGTCAATACCAAGAAGCTGTTAAGCAGCCAAGGATGGAAACGGACACTTCTCAATCAGATGTCAACAAAAAGCTGTGCAAAATCAGATACTAAAACTGGCAGGATAATGTGCAGAATTGAGAGACCTAGGACCAGGTGGGAGATGAATGGAGGCCTTGGTGGGGGAGGGGTTAGGGTAAAAGAAATACTGTATGTATATATTTTTTGAATAAATAAAAACATAATTTTAAAGAACAATATTAAGCTCTATAAGCTTGTTGGAAATGTAGCACAGATGGTGGAGAGTGTCTAACAAGCACAACATCCCAGGCTTGACACCCAGCCCCTCATAAACCAAGTGAGGTCGCACCCGCTTCCAGTCACAGAATTTAGAGGTGGATAAAGGATGAGCAGAAGTTCAAGGTCATCCCTGAGTTCCACACCAATCAGGGCTACATGAGATCCTTTCTCAACAACAACACAGATGGGGGGACACCCAGAGGCCAAAGATAGCAGCTAGAGATATGGCCTAACTATTCCAGGCTGTTTTCTAAGTCAGGGTCTCACTATGTAGAACTGGCTGTTCTTGAACTCACGTAGATCCGTCTTCCTTTGCCTCCTGAGTGTTGAGATTACAGGTGTGTACCACCTACCACCTGTAGTTAGATGGTTATTAAAGACAAAAGAAGCTAAATGTAAAGGGAAAAACTGATCAGCCGTCTTTCTCAAAATTACAAACTTCTCATCTAAAGAATTTAGAAAAACAAAAGATAGGCAACTTAGGGAACTGTCCTAGGGTTTCCAGGCTGTAAGACACCAGGACCACGACAACTCTTATAAAGGAAAATTTTAGCTGGATGGCTTACAGTTCAGAGGTCCAGTCGATTACCATCATGGTGAGACAAGGCAGCATGCAGGCAGACATGGTGTTAGGGAGGTAGCTGAAAGGTCTACAGCTTGTGCAGGCAACAGGACGTGAACTAAGTGTCACACTGGGCTTGAGCATAGGAGACCTACAATCCTACATGCACCGTGACGCACTTTCCCTGGATCCCCTGGAGCTGGGATCACAGGCAGTTGTAAGCCACCTGATACAGGGGACTCGAACTCGAGTCCTGTGCAAGAGCAGGACAGGATCTTAACCATGGAGCCAGCTCTCCAGCCCCTAAATATATCTCATAATGCCTGCTTTTTACATTTTCTTCCCCAAATTTACAGGAAGGAGCGCTTTACTGTTTCTCCAAAAGAAGCCAACACATAATTTCTGTGATTTATGGAGCTACTGAGCATGCTAAGAGACAAAGTGACAGTTGCCCTACAAATTATTTGGTGCCTGTGATTTTCTGAGCACCACAGCCAGATGGTTCTCACAGAAACTGAGAGGAGCCTGTTCCCGCAGTTCAAAGGTTTGCTTATTTTTCAGTCCTGAAGTCTTAAAGACGATATTGATTGCAGCACTATGGCTCTACAGGAGGAGCTGGCTGGGGAGGGCCACGCTGGAATTTATTACCAAACAATGCTCATTATGGCTGTCTCTGACAGGGGTCCATTAAAATCAATTTTTATGTTTCTTATGTATTTTCTTTATCTAATGTTCTTGGCATTGTGTTTATTAGCCAGTTAAGACAAACACCCAGCATAGGAGTTGGTGCTTTTTCTTCTCGTTTTTTTCCGTTTTGTTTTTTTCTTCTCCTCTCAGAAATAACAAGAATTGCCATTTTAATGCTGGCATTCGTGGCCAGCAAACAGAGAAAGAGAGGAAGGAAGTCCAGTGCTACATTTTAGAATGAGATGTTCGGGAGTGCTTCCAATTTGTTTTTGTTTTCTTTACAATTAGAAAAAGGTGGTAAGGACGATGCATAGAGGAACACATGTCCTCCATGGACCCTGTGCTCTGCAGTGATCTGGTTAAGACTCCTTCTACACCTTAGCAGTGATCACTCCTGGCCTGGTGCCACCTCCAGGAAGCAGCAGAGTGCCCCAACAGAGCTAACGATCTGGACTAGGGAGAAGCGGCTGACAGACCCTGCCAGGCTCGATTTAAAACCTCTAAGGTAAGTCACCATGATTGAGAGACCTGTTCATGCCTGTATATCATGTGTTCAAGAACCAAAGTGTTCAACGTGGGTGGTGAAGATGGCTCAGTCAGTAAATGCTTGTTTTATAATCGTGAAGAGCTGGAGAATCCATGTGAGAAGCTGGCACTGTGGCACTGGCCTGGAATCCCTACGCTGGCAAAGTAAAGACAGGCAAACCCCCCAAGGCTTGCTCACTGGCTAACCTAGCCTAATGAGTGAGCTCTGGGCCAATGAGAGACTCTGTGTCAAAAAAAAAAGGTAGGAAGCACCCGAGGCTGCCCTCTGGCTTCCATAGGCACGCACAGACACGTGTATCCACAGGGAGACACTTAGACACAGATACAGACACACACACACACACACACACACACACACACAAATGCTCACTGTTCACAGAATTCAACACCTCTGCAAACGAATGCATGAATCACATGCCTGAAAGCTCCCATCAAAGTCATGCCCCCAGGGCTTATGAGCTAGTCCAGCTTACTGGGCAATAATACATGAGTTGCCAAAGACACCACAACTCAAAGATGGCTTCCAGAGATGCTCTGTTTATGGTTGGTGGCACCAGGCTCTGTATTTACCCTGTGACCAGTGGAAAAGATCCAGGGCTCCTGCTGGCTCCTGCCTTCAGCACCCGCCACTCACGTGGTGCCCATGCTTGCTGCCCACACTTACTCAGTGCTTGGGGTCTTTCCGCGGAGGAATCGTATGCCATGCAGGCCCCGCTCGCAGCCAGACAGCTCCATCTTCCCCAAAGGGCTGTCCAACACTGTGTATTTCATTTTGCAGGTCTCAGCCATTCTGCCAAGTTCCTAGAGAGAAGCAATTTTTAAGTCGAGGAAGGAAGTGGTCATTTATAAAGCACGATAGAAGCACTGGTTACTTAACACAGACGACAGGTTCCAAAGCTTCCCCTCCTGTTGGGATTTAATCCTAAGCTACTTTTACAATACAGCCACTTTCCACAATAACCGGGGTCACCCAACTAGTGCCTACTTCTCTTTGGTCCTCTAAAATTACAATGCCTCTATCTCTCCCTGCTGTCCTTAACTCAAGCAGACTTGGAGGAGGCCGAACTAGTGTAAGATTTTTTTTTTTAAAAAAAAAAAAAAACTACCTGAAACTCAGCAAGCTTTGGCTAAAATGACTGTGAGAAAGACTATTCCACATTGTGAATAAGGCACATTGGTAAGTGAAGCAGGGGCTGGGGTGGAGCATGAGGAGCTGGGGTGGAGCATGAGGGGCTGGGGTGGAGCATGAGGGGCTGGGGTGGAGTATGAGGAGCTGGGGTGGAGCATGAGGGGCTGGGGTGGAGCATGAGGGGCTGGGGTGGAGTATGAGGGGCAGACCACTTGTCCAGCCTGCACCAGGTTTAGTTTCATCTTTATATGACAGATTTTAAAAATGAGAGAGACATGGGAACATGTATGAAATATGCACCTGAGCTTCCCAAACACTGGATCCTGGTATTTCTAGCTCCTTCGCCCCATTTCATTGGGACGCCAATGCAGTGAATGGCACAGGCCTCACCTGGGAACATATAGACTATACAGAACAAGTCAATTGCTGATGACTTCCAGGGGCAGAACATGGTCAAAAGCCATAGCCTATCATCCACATCTGGCTGACACTGCCTCCATTCCAAGTCCCACCCCCCCATCTCTCTATCTGTCTTTATGTATGTATGTATGTATGTATGTATGTATCTGTGTGTGTGTGTGTACTTACAAAACAGGCATTGTCAGAACATGGCCACACCCTCCCCACCTTCATTCACCTACAGTCCATGGCTGCTTTTTTTCTATTGCCAAGTTGTGACAGAAGCAGGGTGACCTCCAAAGCCCACCACACCTATCCTTGGACCTCAACAAAAGAGGTCTGCTGACCCTTCCAAGGTCCATATACCCCACTGCAGCAATCCCCAAGCTACAGGTTATCCCCACGTGCAGTATCCCTTTGCATCCTCTCCTGCCTGTCTGCTAGGTTTCTGTGCTGCCCGGTGCTGCCTAGGATCTTCTGTGCCATTCACATGCTTCTGACACCACTGCTTCCCCCATCCCCCTCTCCCCTTCAGCCTGGCCAGAGCCAATGCTTCCCAAACAAGACAAAGCATTCCCAAAGCAAAATGCCCCAAAGTTTCCTTGCACAGCACCCCACTTCCTAAACACAAGGCAAGAATTTGAAAGGGCTCTCTCTCCTCCAGGGCCTCAGGGTATGAGCCTGCTCGGGGATCTCAGCCTCAGGCCACTTGTCACAGTTTACAGAGGCCCCTCCTCTCCATATGCGGCTTCTGTAACACCCATTCTGGAAACAGCCCACTGACTGCAGGGTAAATACTAAACTCGCAGGGCACAAGCTCAAGTTGATGGCAGATGAAACAAGCTATCCTGAACACAAGAACTCAGGCTTGCCGTCTTGAAGGCTGCTATCTGGACACATGGGCATACACCTGGTATAACCAATATCCCAGTCAAATCCAAACATACAGGGTCCAAGCTTCTGAATGCAAAACTGGGGAGACTCAGAGGCGTACACCCTTTAGAATTAGGCCCAAGGAGCTATGGTGGCTCCAGTAACCCAATATTTTATATCTGTGCTTATGTGCACGTGCACATAAGTACACAAAAGATAGTGTCAAATCCCTCTGAGCTGGAGCAACGGGTGCTTGTGAGCCAACAATGTTGATGCCAGAATCAGAATTTAAGTCCTCTGGAAAAGCAGCAAGGGCTTTTAACCACTGAGCCATTTCTTCAGCCCCCAACAGCCTACTTCTTTGAGTGTCTGCTGACAGCAGTGGCCACAGGAAATGTGCGCATACTCTATCCTGCAGTTCTCCAAGGATGGCAGTCCTAGGCACAGTAGCTTGGTTAAATCACCTACATGGGATATCCCCGTGGCCGGTCCAGAACCCAGCTGGGCTAATTATAGCTCTCCACTTGGCACAGAACCCAGAGTGTGGCTCCTGTACCTACATTCCCTGCATCATCACTGTGGCATCCACCAAAAGCCACAAGAGGGGCTGACATTAATTGGTGGCAGAAAAAGAATCGATTTTCCACGGCTATTTGGAGACCTCTGAAGAATGAAGTGAATTTCTTTTCATCTCTCCCTTTAACATGAAGGGCGTTTAAATAGCAATGTTCTGAACTAAGCAGCTGGCGCCAGAGGCCAGTTCCCACCAAGGTATTAAAAGCCAGGGACCCACAGGCAGCAGCTCCCTTCCCTCTCTGCTCCACCTCACCAGGCCTTCCAGAACTGTCTTTGCTGCTGCACTGCACCTTCTCCAGTGTTTCCATGCGACTCCCAGGAGCAGGCCAGGCCTGCCAGAAGCCAGGGGTGTAGGAAGTAGGTGCCCTGCTAGTCTGAGAGGGACAACAGGTACAGGATCAAACCTCAGGTCCTGCCAAAGTCAGTGGAGAACACAAAGGTCCCGTAAGGTTTCCCAGCCAACTGGGGGCTAGGAAGGAAGCACCAGAAGCAGAATTAGTCCCCAGCTCCCATATCCACCTCAGCAATAGGTATAAAGAAACCACAGAAGAGAGCAAACCATGCAGTCATGTCATCTGATCCTAAAACCCTGAGAGGCTGGGAGAGAATGGGATTGGCTAGCCAACTGGGGAAGCCCAAGAGGAATACGACAAGGGTACAGAAGTGAAGTCAGGGCTGATGCCTACCCATGATGCTCACCAGACCAGGAGCCTCCCAGGCCGAGCTATGAATTGTCCCATTGAACAGAAGACAATCCCTCTGTGGCTCTGTCCCTCCGACTGAAAGTGGGGCTTGGGTAGAGGCTATTATAAAAGTGAACAGGCTGAAGTGTCATTTGGAGATCATTGCAAAGCCACCAACTACAGCCTGACCTTCAGGCCACGAAGGAAAGAGATGAGTGTTCAGGGCTGCAACTAAACTTCTATGCAGTCAGTGACGTGTGCATAACCAGAGGTGAATTCTGCCCTGCGATGACAACAGTGGCCACCTGTCTGTTGGTGTCACCATTGCTGTAATGAAACGCAACTTGGGGAGGAAAGGGTTTATTTCATTCACAGGTCCACATTAACGGTTCATCATCAAAAGCTGTGAGGGCAGGAACTCATGCGAGGCAGGACCCTGGAGGCTGGAGCTGATGCAGAGGCCATGGAGGGGTGCTGTTTACTGGCCTGCTCCTCATGGCTTGCTCAGCCTGCTTTCTTATTGAACCCAGGACCACCAGCTCAGGCGTGGTCCTACTCACAATGGGCTGGGCCCTCTCCCATCAATCACTAATTAAGAAAATGCTCTACAGGCTTGCCAACAGCCCAGTCTTATAGACATTTTCTTAATTGAGGTTCCCTTCCTGCTCTCTGATGATTCTAGCTTGTGTCAAGTTGACATAAAACTAGTCAGCACACCGTCCTCCTTGCATTCCTGTCACTATGGTAACAGACCCTGACCCCCCCCCCAAAAAAAAAACAATTTTGGGAAAAAGGTTTACTTAGCTTACAAACCAGGTTAAGGCCCATCACTTCATGGGGATCAAGGCAGGAACGAAAGCAGCTGCTCATATTCAATCAAGAGCAGAAAGAACGAATATACGCACACCTGCTGCTCAGCTCACTTTCTCATTCTCATCAAGTCCAGGGCCCCAAACTAGGGGATGGTGCTGCCCACAGTGGGTAATGCCACATCCATCAACAGTCAGTACAATCCTCCACAGACTACAGGCCAGTCTTCTCTGGACAATCCCTCACTGTGAGTTTTTCCCCAGGTGACTGGAGGTTGTGGAGAGTTGACAAATACCGAACCATCACAACACTTTCCAGAGGAAGAGGCTGCCATGTTCATAGTTATCCTCCGGCTGTATCCTGCTCCTCGTCTCAAGCCTGTCGAGAGGTTTAGGGTGTGCGACTATAAGGTGTATTGCAACAACCCTTTTTGGTAGCTGGCACTTTAATGGGGAAGAACATTCCAACACCCAAGCCTTGGCAGCTAAGGATTGAGGCAGACTGAACCCGTGTAGTATATCCCAGGAGCAGCTCAGACCTACGTTCATTAAAGAATCCCGTCACCTAAACAACAGGCTGCATGCAGCGAGACACAGCACAGATACCAAAGTGCTTGTACAACACAGGACAGCTGAAGGACTTGTTCTCTGGTCTGCAAACCAAGGTCTTTAGATTCAAACTGGTACCGTGTACACTTAGAAATCATACTTAAAGTCTAGTTTCCCACTCCAAATGTCACACAGGTGCCTCCCTGGAACTGAAACTGAATAGGAGTAGATCAGTGAAGAGCCTGCTTCTTTCTCTCACAGTGGGAGCCAGCAAGATTAGGCAGCAGAGGGAAAAACCAGCACCCCCCACCCCCGTGTGTGTGTGTGTGTGTGTGTGTGTGTGTGTGTGTGTAGCAGATCAAGCTAAGTGCAGCAAGTGTGTATGTGAACAGAATTAGCAGACTGTTCCAAAACTCCCCTAGAACTTCAAGCACTTGTGAGACCCCCTTCCAGACGGCAGCTGTGACTGTTTATCCGCTGGAACAGCTTAGCTAAACCACCTCTGCCTCTAACTGGAAACGGGTATGGGAGAGCAGAACCCAGCACAGAAAGGTGTCTTGCTGGAAGCGCTCCAGTCCCTGTTTCCTTCGGGGACTACCCAAGAGGTTCTGCACCTGCTCACATTCCTGCAGACAGGGACTCGGTGTCCCAGTGGGGCTGCAGAGTCACAATCATGGGCTAAGAGTTCTTACCTTCTACCTAGTTACTCATTGAGAAGAGGCATTTCTATACCAAAATTCTCTTTTTTAATTTTTTTTTTATTTGAAGGCAGGGTCTCTCTGT